ACACCTACGCAAATTGGTAGAGTTGATGGGCGCCACATATGGGGATTTTCTAACGCCAAAAGCATCCGTTTTGATTTGCAATGACCCCAAAACAGCCAGCGTTGACAAACTGCGGCATACTGCCGAGTGGGGGGTTCCAGCAGTGTCTGCTGACTGGCTTTGGATATCTATTCAGTCTGGCCAAAAGAAGTCATTTGAACCATATATTGTCCGACGACAATTACCTCAAAAAGCTAGCAGCACAGACAAACTGGGTTCCCTGTCTGCTAAGCGAAAGCAACCTGACGGATATCTTGATGAACGGAAAGCGGGTTCCCCATATAACATCTCTACGGAGTCCTCGAATGGCAGTAGGGGCGAGAAGCGAAGTTTAGGGAATATCGCTGCAAGTCGAACAATACCCATAGTCGGCGACGGCTTTGAGGCCGATGCACCAAAACCCTCCGTTCCAGAGTCTCGATCTCCAACCCCAGCCAGGATATCAGACAAACAAACCTCAGAAGAACCGAATACCAAACAGCCCACGCCAAGTACCGACTTGGCACCACCCACTGGCCCATCCGCACTAGATACCGCTCTGAGTGGGCTCCTACAGCAAGCTCGCGCTGCCAAGTCACGACAGCAGTCCGAGAGCACTACGATAAATAACGACGGGAATCCACCCCGACGAAAGCGTAAGCCGCTCCTCGGCCGCGCCCCATCCCACTCTTCGGCCCGAATGCTAGAAGGTCTGCGGCCTGTCTCACGCGCTAGCTCGATCGACACACTCAACGACGACGGCCTCGGCAGCGCCTTGGAAAGCGCTCACCCAACCAGAGACAACTCCATATCCCGCAGCAATAGCCGTGCCGAACAGAGTCTGTCATCTATGCTCAGCGGTGGGAAATTTGATTTCCTGAATGATAAAATTCCACCTCATACTGAGGACGAAGATGAGGAAAATCAGGCACCGCAGATGACGCAGCTGGATTATGAAGATCCCGATGCGGCTGCCATGAGGGCGGAGTTCCTGAGGGATGCTGGGAAGTTGTCTGGTAAGACAATGAAGACCGATAGTTCGGGTTTGCTTGTCGGTGAAGTGCGGGAGCTGGAGGATATTGGATGGGGGTCTGGGCGGAGGACGAGGAAACAGCCTGTTAAAGTGGATGATGAATGATTATGCACGTGGGATGGACGTCTTGGTTTTTAGTTTTGGGGGACTTTTTTTCATCGGCGAGCGCATGGCATTGCATTGCGAATGGCGCCCTCTTTGGTTTATCTATTGTTTTGAAAGAGCGATATCTAAATGTTGTCAATGACAATTTAATTCAGTTCAATATCAAGCAAGGTACATATCCTCAGGTCTACTATGAGATTAATAAGTGATGAATTGTCTTGAGAAGCCGAGTGGAAGCTGCATTCTGATACTCGACATTTTGGGGACAAAAAGAAAGACGAAAGACAACTCGCGATCTTGAGGCCACTAGCAAGAGGAATTCTGAACTAGATGCAATCTTAATTCAAGGGGGAATCTTGGGTAAGGATTAGACTCCCTCTGGTGCACACCATCACGCTATGAAATACAATGAAAGCCAGCGAGGTAAGATGCCCCAGGGCAGAAATGACCGTAGAGCCAACGTGAGGGAACATCATGGGAGGATTTTAGTAGAATATGGAGAATGGGTAAGAGAAAGATGTAAACTGTACAAGTTAGGAGGTAAAAGAAAAAGAGTGAAAAAGAAACATCGTAGGAATCATGAGTGGTTGTACAAAGGTGGATATAGTCTTAAGCTTGCATTGCTGCAGCCATTCCGCCAGGCAAGGGAGCATCAAGATCCAAATTCTCGATAGAACGGCGGTTCTCGCTGCTGTCCCGGAACAGGTTAGAGAAATACTTGGTGGCAACATCGCTCTCCTGTTTGATTTTGGTGACCTCTTGCTTGCGTCTGCCGAGATCCTCAATATCCTGAGATAGACAGGTCTGAAGATTGCCGGCAGGCATGCGCAGCATGCGGCGGACTTCAGTCGAGATTCGATTGGCATTTGAGTGCACATAATCCATCTCAGCAAGAGTGGCGGCGATCTTCCGCGACAGGCGTGGGGGAAGGGTGGTCGGGATGGAGCTGAGCACATAAGCTGTGGTCAGGACAGCTTGTATAAAGTTAGTATGTTGTTATTCTCTGTAAGAACGAATTGGAAAAACTCACCAGCAGCAAGGATGCTAGGGAAGAACAGCCGGCGCATGTTGTTCGGGCCAATGACCTTGACAGCACTTAAGGCACTATCCACCCAACTAAATCCGCCCAATGCCCTACCACCAAGTACAGTGACGGCAGTCATTGCAACGCCTGTTCCTGCCAACTTTTCTTGGCGCTCCCAGAGACCAGCAATATCGAAGAAATCCCACAGCTCAACTTCAGTGTCGACTTGTCGGCCAAATGTGTGGCGACGGCCACGGCGGAACATCGCATCCGCGCGGAAGTTGAGTGGAGTGAATTTATCTTCACCAATGTGCAGAAGACCGATGTTTTGGATGAAACCGACTCCTTGAACTGTTTTCTCTCGGGCGTAGTCCTCACAGTCGGTGACGGACGAGGCGATCTGATCCAACATTGCTAGCTTCAATTCCTCAGCGTACTGGAACGCCGAAAAGATGCCAGGATATACAACACCGAGGTCTGCATCAGAAACACGCGTGATTGTGTTAGTCAGTGCCGAACGAGTGTGATTGTAGACGTCATCGCATGAATCGTCGATGGCTTTGTTGACACCCTCTGCAAGCTCTCCCTTCTTTTTCTTGCCGTTCTCGAATGCTGGTACAATCTCCGCCAATTCATCGGTCACTCGCTTGAGCTCCGATTGTGCAACGTCACGGTTGACTGTGGCAAGGGATCCAAGGTCAGCCAAGAGATTCAGAAGGTAAGTTCTGGCAGGCGCAAGCTTGGACCGGGAGCGCTTTTCAAGGACAAAACGTCGCAAGGCTCCTTCAAGGTTCTCGAAGTCTTGGAGCTTCTCTCGTTCTTTGCCCTTGCCCTTATCCTTGGAGTCCTTATCATCGTCGTCATCATGAGGGTCAGAGCCACCGCCATCACCTGAGCCAGATTGCGAGATAGCAGGTGCAACAGGTATAGCATTGCTAGAAACGAAATGAACCAGTTCAGCAGCTTCCTTGTACGTGCGAGGGCTGAGTTTGCCGATCTGATCCAAGATCATGCGTTCGCAGCGCTGCTTGTCACGAATTTGATCAAATCCGTTGACTACCATGAATATATATGCCTTCTCATGTGCAGCATTCAAGATGAACTCTTTTGCAGACAATGTGAAATGATTTGCGGCGGAAACCACAAACACAACGACATCGATCTCCTCCTGCCGAGCAAAGACAGCCGTGGTTTTCAACGAGTCTGAGTTTAAGCCGGGTGCATCGATCAAAGCGATGTCAACCACGCCGTTGTTGAGCAGGGATTCATCAATAGACCGTACATCCTTCACGTAGACCTTGCACTGCATGTATTTCGTGTTTTCGATGACGATGTCTTCGAGTTCGGCGAGAGAATAGACATCAAAGGTGCTTTCGTCATTGCGGTTGTATGGTGTATCTTTGTGAACAGCGTGCACTTCTTCGACGCTGCAGTTTTCGCGAGCATCGAGAACCTCACAGAAGATACTGGTGCAAGGCTGCTGGTCCTCTGGCAACACTTTTCGGCGCAGGAGAGCATTGCAGAATGTCGATTTTCCTGCGTTCAAGTCTCCTGTAATCAGGACCTTACTTGAGGTATCCTCAATTCTGTCTCGCAGCGAGAGTAGATGCTTCATGCTTTGGCTGATCTTTCCATCCAACAGGGCTGCAATCGATGCCTTTTCTAACGAATGCACTAGCTCCGCCTGCGAAAGAGCGCCGAGCTTTAGATCCAATTTAAGAATAGAGAACTCTTGCGCAATCTGTGGGGTCATCAATCTAGGCTCTGACGCGACGCGACGTTCGGCCGAGGCACTGGATTCTGCCAATTCGTCGCTACCCATCAAGGTGGCTGCGCGCCTCAGTTCTGGTCGGGGAGGGGTGCTAGGCCTGCTGTTGTCGTCTCCAAATTCGGATTGAGTTTGATTCAGCGATGGTCGCCGATCCATGGGAAAAGAGGGCGTGTTCTGCACGGACGGATAGTGGGCGGGCCATTGGCGGTTCATGTCCTGAAGCTCCTTCAGTGTGTCGATAGTCCGGGAGATCGCACGAGCAAGTTTGGTTCGGTTTGAGTTACTGAAAATATTGTAAGCCTTGGACTTCCATGAATGGGTTATTTGCGTGTAGGCGAGACATACTATAGAAGTTGAGAGACATGACTAGCAACCACTTGCTTCTCATGCTCAGCTGTAACCACAGATGCATTAGCCCAATTTTATCCCCTTTATATCACACAGTGCATCACCGCCAGCCACCTACCTGCGGGATTCCATTCTCCAGGGCGCGTTGGAGTATGGACCGGAGTCGGCCTGTCCTCCATCAATCCTGCACGCCAAGCAGAGTTCGCATCCTCCTCCGTACCGGCAACGCTGCCTCCATATCCAGAATCTTGGTTTAGAGAAGTCATTAAGGCCGTAGCACTGTCTGAAGTCGAACCGTTGCCCACAGTCATATAAGTCGGCGGGGGACGGAAAAAAGGATTCTTCTCGGGAAATTCTTCCTCGCCTGCGAATCTGGACGAGCCAGCTGCGGAAGACGAGCCTTCACCAGGGTGATATTCCTGACTCATGACGGATAAGATACCTCAACGTGGGGGCGACATCCATCCAACAGAAGTTGTGTTTTTGGTTGTTTGGTTATGAGATGATCGATTTCTTGCAAGGTTTAAGATGACGTCGGGCCAAAAGGGGTTTAGCGTACATGTGACCCGGTATCATAGTAATGCCGCCGTAATCTTACCATACCGCCATTGATGTCACTGTTTCTACTCCTACTCAGGCTCCTACTTTGTACTTGGATTTACTTCGCACCTCAAACTGACAAATCATTACTACCCACAATCATGAATGTAAGGCGCATGCCAAATCCTTGAACATGGCAATTTTACTCACATGAGCTTTCTCAGATCGTCGAGTGGGCTTTCGGAAAGCGCATGACCCCCGCGGAGCGTCTGCGTAAACACCAGCGTGCCTTGGACCGAACACAGCGGGAGCTTGACCGAGAGCGAGTGAAACTAGAGAACCAAGAAAAGAAGCTGGTACAAGACATCAAGAAGAGTGCCAAAAATGGGCAAGTTGGAGCCTGCAAGATCCAGGCCAAGGACCTGGTTCGGACGCGGAGGTCAGTTTCCCTTGATTGTTTACTGATCGCAGCAGCATTGGCTGATTGGATGGCGACAACAGATACATCCAGAAGTTCTACCAAATGCGCACGCAATTACAGGCTATTTCTCTACGCATCCAGGTAGGCGCAAACTGTCCTCCGCTACCCCTCTTAGTTCTACGATGCGCTGACTATCGCTGCTTCCAAGACCGTCCGAAGCAATGAGCAAATGATGCAGTCGATGAAAGGAGCCACAATGCTTCTGGGTAGTATGAACAGACAAATGAATCTCCCAGCACTGCAACGGATCGCGATGGAATTTGAACGAGAAAATGACGTTATGGACCAACGGCAAGAGATGATGGATGATGCGATCGACGAGGCCACAGGAATGGAAGGCGAAGAAGAGGAAGGAGAAGATATCTTGAAGGAGGTTTTGGACGAGATAGGTGTCGATCTGAACCAGGCGGTTTGTTTCCCCGGCCCCCAAACCTCAGAAGGTGGACCTAGCAGACTAACATATTACATCTACAGCTTGGCGACACACCCGAACACATACAGAAAGCACCAGTGAATGAAACCCGAGTTGCGCAGGCCATTGGAGGGGGGGGCAATACAAGTGATGATGACCTCCAAGCTAGATTGGACAGCCTTCGACGATGATTACAATTTTCTTTCTTATATGCCATTGATAACAGAGGTCATAATGCGACCTGCTGTGTTGAGCCCTAATTGAGTTTACCTGTCTTGCTGTTATTATTAGCATAACTTGCAAGATATTCCTGCTACCTACATACCAATTCATTTCCTTTCAACTCCTTGCATTTTTTCTCAACACCTCAAGGGCGTCTAGCCGTGAACTAGATAGTCTTACATATAAACCACATTATACCTACGTATGCTTAGCGACAAGAAAATATCTATATGTCAAGATCTTGAATTGCTCAATTTAACTACTGACTGTAATACTCCGATTGTATTGGAAACATCATTCTCAACATATAAGATTGGAAGCCTCAAGGCGATGTTTCTTGAGGAGGAACCTCCTCGTATCCATTGTTATCAGATGCATCAGAATATGTAGAATAATCGGAAGAACCAGAAGAACTAGAACAGTATTCAGAGGAAGCAGAAGGATTATTTTTCGGGCTGTTAAGGATCGGGAACGACATATCTTGGTCCAGTGATATACTTGGCCATGTGAAACCCCTTCGACCATCTGCACGGTTTCTATTATGAAATTCCTTGACAAAGGGTCTTTTCAAAGGGCGACCAGACTCAAGTTCTTCAGCAGACCAGCGAGAAAACCAAGGAAATGACGATAACTCTTCCAACGACGGCCGCTCGGACTTTTTTCTAGACAATGTGGCTTGTAACACATCCCTGCAGTCCTGTGAGAGTGATTCGCTGATTGCTGCATCCTCGTTGATCATTCTCTTGCGCCTGCGTTTGACTACTGGGTAGAACGGGTCATTGTAAGGACCATCATACCTAGCATGCCAATCCAAATGTCTCGGCACTGGCTTAGGCTCATCCCAGGGCCAGAAGCCATGCAGAAACCCGTAAACGAGTGTTGAATATTTCCACAGGCAAACTTCCCGTTGGTCAACAGGCAAGTGGATACTTTCGATACAGACATCATCGTGGGATGGATCCCTCCAAATGTCGTACTTCTCCAGTTCAATGGCTCGCTCAGGCATCATCTGGTACTCTTGGTAGGGAATAAAGTGGTCTAAGTTGAATATATCCGTGCTATCAAGCGAGAAGGTGAGCATTCCAAGATCGATTAGTTGAACGTTGAGGTTTTGGTCCATGAGATAATTTGTCACTGAGATATCAGCATGGCAGACCTTCATATCAGCTAATTCTATCATAGCTTGGAGAAGCTGCGAAGCCACTTTACTGCCTTCTATTTCCCCCAGTTGAGGTTCTTTGGTGGATGCGGACATGAGATAGCTGCCATCAAAGGCTGGAAACGGGGGGTATCTCTTCCGGATGCGCGGCGGTATTGGCCCCTTCGACTTGATCCTGTGAAAATGATCCTCATCAATAATTGAAATGGCTTCATAGCTAGGGTCAACACAGGGGGTCATGAGAATTGCTGTTAGCATACCGTGAGTATAGACCGAGTTGAGCCGCGGGAATCTTTTGCTGTCGTCGAGATAGATCAGAAGGAGTGCTTCTTCTGGCATATATCGTTTCTCCCCGCTAGGCTCACAAAAGGCCGCCATCTGAGCATTTACACCTGATATTCTGTCCATCCACTGTGTTGTGTGGACTTGAGATTTGATTGCGTATTGTTCAAGGTCCTCCAGGGAAGCCCCAGCAGCGCCTTTCTCGCGAGCAATAAACGTGGCCCCAAATGCTGTGATCAGTTAGCAATGCATCCCTACAAAAGACATCAGATCAATGGGAGAGAATGGACTTACTTCCTGCGCCTATGAATCCATATATTTGCACTCGCTCGTTAAGGTCCGGACAAAGGCATACTGCCTTGGCAGTGGTCTTCCCATCAGCACTCAAACGGATGAAATCATCATAAGAAGTGTGGTTATATTGTTGGAACACTTCGCTGTCGCATCTGTGACCTAAATCGTCCCGGCAATTACACCTCGAGAACTCCTCGTTATTCCGTTTGCTAAACGCTACCCCTAGACGATCTCGAAGAACCTGACTCACTTGGGGAAACCTTTGAGACAATTGGCTTGATGGGTCTAAAAGCTCTTCAGCATTATAAGAGAAGCTATTGCTGTAGTCCATGTTTTTGAATTCGCGAACCTGCGACAATTGACGATGTAAGGTATGATTCCCCTTTATCGCGCCCAAATCTCTCCCTAGGAGATAATTAAAGGCGTAGGGATCCTGTGGATCAACCCTGATCTGTTCAGTCATGATATCTGGTTAAATTAGTCAAATGAAGAAAAGTGGCGTATGAAGTGTTAGAGGAAGGCTCTAGGGGCGAAGAAGGTCGTTTATGTACAGCGTTCAAAGAAGTTTCATTCTATTGTTCTCAGAATAGAGAGGCTAAAGTTCTACGAATGAAAGGAGTTCCTCGAAACAATTTTCTTATTATGTATGTCAAAGAGTTATTTCCTTTGAACAATGAATAAAGAGCCTCAAGTCAATCTACTTATCTATGTAGGCAGACAGAACTATGCTAAATTAGCTAGATCGCTAAATCGCTAAATCGCTAAATCGCTAAATCGGTAAATCACTCAGATCTTATGTTTACCAGATGATGCTCGTAAATCCATAAATTCATATGTGCATGTGCATGTCAGCGTTCACCCGGGCGACTCGTCTTACGCGGCTGAAAACCCTTGGAAGTACATGGTTGCGCCCCATTTGATTTTGGGCCCGCAATTTTCAGCCTCATGCACCCGGGTGAGAGAAATTGTGTTCAAGGATAAATTTCAAGTATACAGCCAAACGTTACATAAATAGCGCCAGATGTCTCTTCGGAGAATCAGATTCATTCTAATAACCAGCTTTCTATTCAAATAAAGAAACAAAGAGATCCTTCCAAAACAATGTCTGCTCTCAACACCGACAACAATTCGATGCAACTCCCAAGAGACACCCCAAACACAAACCCATTGTTTCCGGTCGATCATATTCAACATGCCGAGAAAGACAATGGCTTCGAATCCACGGGTCCTGTTTATGAGGGCTTCACCTTTTTCAAGGCTATGCCCAAACAAGGTGCAACCTGGACCTGTGTGAAACGGACAGTCATGCATCTGAATCAAGACGAATATTCCAAAATGGTTCAGAAGAGGGCAAACCAAAAGTCCCCAGTGCAGCAATACCAAGACCTATCCTCCGATACCAGGCGCGCTCATATAAACCAGCTGATCGACGAACAAAGGCACAAGAATCCACTTGTTGAGTGGAGCTGCGTTTACGCTAAAGAACACACCAAGATGTTCAAGCCTCGACATTCTCGTCGTAGTGACTATGAAATAGTCTCCATGGATGTCATCATCATGCAAAGGCCCATGAAGACCCAAGCATATTGCAGGATTTCTGTGGGTGGTTCGGTGGCTTTTGGGAAACCTTTTCAGCCGGATACGAAGAATCAACCCATGTGGTCTGATCATAGAAACCATCATCTGACACCGGATCAAAATGGGAATATTTTGCGGCCCATATTGCAAAGGTTGCCTTCCCAATTGGCCCAAGCAATGAACCCTTTTGCACAGTTGCATTCAACCCAGGGCCCTGCTTATGAGCAACTAAATGGCCAGTTAGCTATACATCCAGTTGTTGAAACCAGCCATCCAATAGGATCGCGGGATCAGCTGCGTGAATCTGCCGGGTCAACTGCAACCGTCAACAATAGACCAGCAAATCCAGATTTCATTGCCGCAAACAACAGCGACATGACTCTTGAGAATACTTCGGATTATTCATCGGAAAGTAACAGCGACTTAGATGATGCATCTATGCATTCTGACGAATCTGACGAAACATCTGCCACAGACGACGAAAGCATGGAGATCGAGACTGAGTGTCAAGAGCCACAGCTAAACCAGGCCTCTTTCCGACAACAGAATGCCGGTCCTGACCGCCGCGAGTCTAGTCATGGACCTCATTCTCGCCGAAAGTACCAAAGCCGTAGCCTTGAAAGAAGACAGGACAGGAGTCATCTCCTTCGCGATCAATGTGAGGTGCCTCCAGCCAAGATTCTTGGCCCAAGACGGGCTGAGACAGCTCGGTCAGGCTCAGTGCCCGGTAAGAGATATCGAATGCAGTTGGTGAACGATAACGAGATTCGGAGCCGAATGCTTGATCACCGTGAAGCAAGTCTTGGACATCGGGAGAAATGGCTGAGAAGAACCTTTTCTGAAGCGCGTCAGCTTGAGCGTCGTCAACCAGTGAGGGATCCGCCAGCAGTGTGTCGCTGTACCTGTCGTTGCGCGATCAAGGAGATGAAGGAAGCTATGTGACTGATGTGTTCTTTTACTTTGGATCTTTTTGGTTATGCCTATTGGTCTCCTGTACTGTCTGTCATAAGAGCTATTTTTAATTGCGTAGTTAGTTTGGAATAGTTTGGAATAGTCAGGTTTATAGAAATGGAATGTTATTATTACCAAGTATACTATACTGTATCAGGGCTGTTGATATGGTATTATAGGTATTTCAATTTTCTGTGGGTCTCAAATACGTCTTTCTCCGCTGCCCAGGTCCACGGGGCCTCCTATAAATGGGGGCTGCCGCTCCATCGCTGCACAATAATACTCTTCTCTTTGTCTCTCAGCGCAGAAATCTTACCTTGATTTTGCTTTCTCGTCAAAGGGAGTCCGGAGCCCTAGAGAGTGAGGCTGATTACTAATTATTTCTACAGATAACAAACCGAGCCTCTTATTATTATGTTCTCAACCCTGAAACGCCACACGCGCAGCCAAAATGTCCATTGCAGCTCTGCCCGTGGAATTGATCTCAAAGATATAAAACCATTTAGATTTCCAGCAATTAGTCGCTATAAGGTTATTATGCCGCGTATTATACAGAAGCTCACTAGAGAATTTCGCGGAGACCTTTTACCGAAAAATCCGTTTTATTGTAACAAGCGAAAGTCTCCACGAAATAGAAGAACTATCTAAGTCAAATAGTCTCCGCAAGTATATCTAAGAGCTATAGATAATACCTATCATATTCGATAGTACTAAACAGCCCCTTAGTATAATATCTGTATTATTAAAAAGCTGCCGGTAAGTTAATAGAGATAAGCTATAAAGTCGGTATACTATCTGTTACGGACCTACCCGTCACCAACCAGTGGTGACCCACAAGGCACACAGATGGGCCACCGAGAGCCAACCAACCGACCAGTCAGCATTCACGTGCGATGCACCCGGCAGAAAGGACGGGTCAGCGAGAAGGCAGCCACTTTCGGCCTCCGACAGGCAAATGGCAATTCTACTCTACAAGAACTTCGAATACCCTTGACCGCCCAGATCACGTGATAATGACTACCTACCAATGTGCTCCCGGGAGGTTTGCAGGGTTTGCTACCTCTCGGTGCCTGAGGCAAGCGTGCTTGCAGTACGGCTGCCTTAGGCATACATACCCGAGTACTCGGCCGAGTACTCGGCCAAGTGCTTACTATTGCCCAGAGCGTAGTGAGCACCCAAAAGGTTTACTTAGGCCAAGCGAGGCTTAGCGCTGATATAATGTATTCTACATTTAGCTAGTAATTAGTACTACCTAATAGAAACTAGACCTGGCAGTGACCCTCCATTTGGACCCGCCAAGACGCTAAGGAGGGTCCAAAGTCCGGATTCTGGACCCGCCAAGGAAATTATGCATGCATAACCTATCCTAATTAGGAAATAATATGCTTATAAACCATGATTTATATATATTTATGTCAAAATTTAGGTCTTGGCGGGTCGCTGGACCCTCGGAGGGTCCAAGGTCATGGACCACCCGGAGGGTCACTGCCAGGTCTAATAGAAACTATACAATCCTTATAGAATCTTATCTGGTAGTATATCTTGCTAAGGCCTTACCTCTCACAGTAAGCCGGCAAAGAAAGCGCTGGTATCCCCTAGAAGAAACCGCGCTTCCTCGCCGGTTCCTAGGACTAAGAACCCCTAAAAAGTAGACTTCGGCACAACCCACTCTAACCCGGACCCAACCCAACCCAACCTAACCCAAAATGGGTTTTAGGTCCATTACTTCGACCTAACGATGGGTTTTGGGTTATAGCTTATAACCTAAAACCTATTAGGTAACCTATTAGGGCCCTAATATAGTATAAACTAGACAAATAGACTTCTAGCGTGTAACTATATAATTAATGTATTTTTTGCTTGTAATATTGAGTATTTTACTTATAGCGCTCTTCTAGAAAAAATAGAGAATAAATTAAATAATTGAACTAGGATATATTTCTCTAATATTACTTAAAATCCTTATCTGCCCTGCTCTTACGCTTTCTCCCTAAGGCCTATCTCTGAGTTACAGTCTTTAGTAACTCTAGCTCTATTACCTCTATATCTATATCTATTAAATAAGGAGATATCTCTTATAGTTTATTATCTACTCTTTCTTCCTCTTTATTATTATTAATTAGGTTAAGCTTAGTATCCTCTATATATTTATTATTCTACTCCTTTATTAACTTAATCTTAGCTAGTATAAAGAACTACTTAAGCTGCTTTATCTTAGAATCCTTAATATTAAATCTTATTATATATAGAAATAATATAAGCTCTTTAATTATTTTAGACTTTAGATAACTACAGCGGTAGTAATAAATATCCTAAGTAGTATTAAAGAGCTGTTTAATACTAATACTAGTTATTAGAATAGAGAGAATATTATAAGTAAGTAATATAATTATAAGGAAATA